TTGGTTATGAACATCATATAATTTGCCTGCTAAAACAGGGAGCTAATGTAATTAAACACTCACCATTGGGTCCTGTGCCTAACCTGCTGCCATTACAGGATTATGTCATGAATTACTGGAAGAACAATGGAGCCCCAGCTGAGAAACTCATTGTTGGATTCCCAGAATATGGACACACTTACATCCTGAGCAACCCCTCCAATACTGGAATTGGTGCTCCTACTTCTGGTGCTGGCCCTGCTGGGCCCTATACCAGGGAGGCTGGGTTCTGGGCCTACTATGAGGTCAGTAGGTTGGCTATATAATGCTTTGTAAATTTCACACCCAATGTTGTACATAGTCTTCAGTTTAGTATCTCCTGGATCTCAATGTTCATTTTGCCTAGTACATACCTATAATAAGCATTTCACTCCTGGTGCTTTAAATGCTTGGATAACATACTTCTATATTTAATCCAAATAGTATTCTTTCAAGCAAAATTTCATATTATTACGAACGTTTATGTTAGCAAGAAAGAAATAAAATAAATTTATTTCTCATTCTACTATGGAATCCAAATTTCTAGTGCTAAAATATGGATAAAATGTAAGAATTTGACAAATAACTCAATCTGAGAATGTAGCTTAGTGGTAGAGCATTTACCTAGAAGGGACACAGCCCTGGATTTATCTCTAGTACCATAGAACAAAACAAGTAGGATCATGCTGTACAATGATTTTTCATGAAAAATTTTCTCAGGTTTGGTTGTTCATTCCTTTATTTTGAACAATCAGGAAGCTGAAGCAGTATGATTTTAAGTTCAAAGCCATATATATATTCTGTCTTAAAAAAGAAAGACAAGGGATGTGATGTAGTTCAGTGATAGAAATGTACTGAGAATAGATAAGTCCTGGGTCCTGTCTCCACCACTGCAAATATGAAAATAACTCAATTTTCTTTATTACAAAGAAAACTGAATTACAAAATTGAGGTAACCCCAAGTGAGGATATGAAAGGAAATAAATCAATGTTTTCTCTCTTTCATGGGATGACTATTTAAAGGGTTTAAATCTCTTAATGTTTAAAGATTTGCACCTTCCTGAGAAATGGAGCTACTGAGGTTTGGGATGCCCCTCAGGAAGTGCCCTATGCCTATAAGGCCAATGAATGGGTTGGCTATG